GCTTTTTCTGCACAGCTCATCCTTTCTGCCCATTCTAAACACATTCCAACCATCAAAATCCTGCCAGGATGCCTCGTTTTCCTAACCCTAACCCTACCCTGGTGCACACCCCTAACCCTAATATAGGGGTAGAGTTCCACTGAAAAGGGGGCAATTTTGAAAAAGACTTCCCTGGAGTAGGTTTTTCTGCACAGCTCATCCTTTCTGCCCATTCCAAGCACATTCCAACCATCAAAACCCTGCCAGGACGCCTGGTTTTCCTAACCCTAACCCTACCCTGGTGCACACCCCTAACCCTAATATAGGGGTAGAGTTCCACTGAAAAGGGGGCAATTTTGAAAAAGACTTCCCTGGAGTAGGTTTTTCTGCACAGCTCATCCTTTCTGCCCATTCTAAGCACATTCCAACCATCAAAATCCTGCCAGGATGCCTCTTTTTCCTAACCCTAACCCTACCCTGGTGCACACCCCTAACCCTAATATAGGGGCAAAGTTCCATTGAAAATAATGCGATTTTGAAAAAGCCCCCCTTGAGTAGGTTTTTCTGCACAGCTCATCCTTTCTGCCCATTCTAAGCACATTCCAACCATCAAAACCCTGCCAGGACGCCTGGTTTTCCTAACCCTACCCTGGTGCACACCCCTAACCCTAATATCGGGGTAGAGTTCCACTGAAAAGGGGGCAATTTTGAAAAAGCCCCCCTTGAGTAGGTTTTTCTGCACAGCTCATCCTTTCTGCCCATTCTAAGCACATTCCAACCGCCAACACCACGCCAGGACGCCGCGTTTCTCCAACCCTGACCTAGTCCCTCACAGCCACGTGGGGGGAATTCCTACGGGAATCCCCGGTGTGGCAGGAGGAGGGTTCTGGGCCACTCCAGTGCCCTGCAGGGCTCCTCGCCATCAGGCACCCCAGGACAGAACTGCGCTACCCCGCAGGGACGTCGTGCAGTGTTCTTCCACCAGCACCCAGTGCTGCGGGTCGGGGATTCGGACCTGCCGGCCGCGGCACACACAGCTCCACCCCGGGAGGCGCCGCAGCCAGCCCCGCGCCGCAGCCCCGCGCCAGGAGGGCCTTCCGGCAGCCACTCACCACCGAGGAGAGCCGGGGGCTCTGCTGCTCCCCCGCACTGATGATCCTCTCCCAGAGCTTGAGCGGGATGTTGGAGATGTGGCAGGAGCAGGTGATGGCGGAGGAATGGAGCGGGGCCAGGTAGGGGGCGGGGATCGTGGGCCAGCCCGGGGTCTGCAGGTCGATCGCCACCAGCTCTTCCTCCACCAGGACCACCAAGGCGGTTGGGTTGTCGAATTCTGGAAGAGGCCGGGGAAGGACGGCAGGGCGCGCCTGCTTAACGGGCTGCTGGGGCTCCCCTCGCCCAAGGCCCCGATTCTCTTGGGGGCCACGCGCCCACACGGAGTAGGGCTGAGGGCAGAACACCCCCAAGGCCAGCTCTCCGCCTTGCCTGGGGCCCTCCTGGCCGGCGACCAAGCCGCAGGAGAGCCGTTCCGCCCCTCGAGGACTGGTGGCCCGGGAAAGGAGCTGGGTCCGGCCGGGGAAGCGTCCCGCAGCCCCACCGTCCCGGATCCCCTGCCTGGGGTGCTGGGCCCCCTCCTCCAGGGCCCAGGAAGGGGAGCGGAAGAGGAGAACCGCTGAGCCACGGTGCAGAGCCAGGCTCACAGGAGGGCCGCCGGGCCGCGGTCTTGTTAAAAGAGCAAAATGCATACCCTCCTCTACCTCTGTGCCGCACACGGTGAAGAAGTCGATGACGCGCGAGGTGAAGTCCAGGGTCACCAGGGTCTGGCCTTGCAGGACGGTGACGCAGTGCCGGTCCCCGTAGCTCGCCCGGGGCATCCCGCCGCTGAAGATGATGTAGTGGCCCCTGCAGGGAAGCCGACCCGCCAGGCGGGCAGTGAGCCGCGCGGACCAAGCCGGGGCCGGCCTGCGAGGAGCCGCACGGCTCCGTTCCCTGGCGGAATCCCGGTTTGCTTCTGGAGGACGAGGACTTCCCAGCCCTGCTGAACTAACCTAGGAAGGCTTCCTGGGTGTTCAAGCATTTGCTTTAGTTCGTTGTATGCGCCCCAGTCTCTCTCACTGTGGAGCGCTTTATAAACGTTACAGGAGAGGAATGACTGGGGCGCTGGACACGGATCGCAGCCTTCTGCCAAAAGTGGCGCTCAAGGCAGCCAATGCTAATAAAATGCAGAGTATCAACAACAACTTAATTAAAAACATTTTTCAAAAATCCATTCATGCACAATTGAAAACACATCGAAAGCGGAATTCTCAGCACCGAGCAATTAAGATGCCCTTCAGCAATAAAGGAGCTTGCAGGCTAAAGGCCTGAGGAAAGCAATTTTGCTGGCCAGCGTGATGTTTGCTTGACTGTGAATTTTTAAAGTGGAGGATAAATATAGACACATCTAAAAAGAACACATACCCCGATTCACACGTCTGCCACATGATCTTATTTATCGCTTTGCATGGGAACGGTCCTAAAACGAAAGAGGATGATTTGGGAATTCAGCGCTTGCAATCTAGAGCTTTGCATCCAAGGAATTCAAAAGCGGCTCCCCACCCTGGTCCCCGTAGTAGATACTCATCTTGGCTCTTGCCAGGACAAAGGACATGGCCAAATATTGTGCATAACCGAGCACAGTGTTAGCAAAAGATGCCAGTCAGCACAGCATGCTGGAAACCCCACATTCTGTTAACATGATGGTTATGCTGCTAGTCCTCATGGAAAAAAAGGATTAAAAATGAGATTAAAGAGACATTTGAAAATGTAGCGATCAATAAACATGAGCAAAGTGCAGAATATTTACAGCGCACAAGGCATCTGGCCCCTCGGCAACGCGGCCACGGGTCCAAGTTGCATCCCAGCATGCTTTGCAACCCGGACAACGGGGCGGCCGCAACGACTGCGGCCGACACCTCAGTCAAGGTGTGACGGCTCAAGCTGGCACGTCCTGCAGTCCCTCCAACGCTGTCACCGTTCTGGCACAGCAAAAGGCATTTCGCTAATTTGTTAAAAGTGGTTTTACGTTCCTGACCGTCTCGGGTTTTCTGTTAGGTTTGATCCTACTGGGACCTACCCAGGCTGCCTCTGGCTACAGGGCAGAATAGAAACGGAAAGACAGGATGGAAAGCCCCAGGCCGGCTTGGTGGGAGAGCCGCCCGGGGGTCTCGCCAGCCGGCCCTGCTTGAGAGAGCCAAACGCGGAGAACCGCATCGCGCCACCCGCGGAGGCAAGCGGAACGAACGCTGCAGGCCGAGGCGGAGGGGGAAGCAACCCGAAAGCGAGAAACAGCCTGGCAAAGGGGCACGAGACCCCCCTCGCAGGATGCCACTCCGCAGAACGCCACGGCCAATTCCTCCCCCTCCATCAATTCGCCCAGTCCTAAAACCATCCACACCAGTCGCTCGGTAAGTCCCCATGCACAGCCTGGGAAGGAGGCCGCGGCTTCTCTGCCGGTTCAGTGCCAGCAACGATCTTTCCGTCTCCCACCCCGTTCGAAAAGGCTTCAGACAGAATCACTAAGTGCTGCTCGTTCTATTTTTAATGATACTTTTAATGCTGAGTTTTAAAATAGTCCTTCCCCGGCTTTAGCCGCCCGGATACTTACCTCTCCTTTTCGCATTACTGGAAATTGCATCCCCCTTTTATTTGAAGGGAAAAAAGCTCACCGTAAGGAATCGTGGCGGTGGCGGGCTGCTGGGTCTTGGGGGCGCTGCCCGCCACCGGCCACACCGCATAGCCGCCGTCGCTGTGGGAGCTGACAATCGTCCGGCCGCTGCGCTCCCAAGCCATGCTCTCCAGCTGCTGCGGAGAGAAGACGGGCCCCACGTCAGCAGGACTGCAGAGGGGCTCCTCGGACAGGCGGACGGGGACTGCTACCCAGCCTTCCCCACGGAGCCGTTCCCATGGAGCCGGCGCGCATCGCCCACTCCCCACCCCCAGGGCTGATGGGAGTGGAGGACCCTGGCCGCCCAGCCTGGCTCCAGGGAAGCATTTCCAAGCGGTGGGTCTTCACATGATGCCGGACCGCGACTCCCATCATCCCCAAGTCCCCGCCCTGCACTCAGCCACGCGACACATACAGGGTGTGCCCCCCACCCCCGAGCTCTGGCCACCGTCCCCAAACGGGCCGACAGCTCTGGCTGAAATCACGCTGCGTCGTTCCCAAGGGAAGCTCTCGCCCAACCCGGATCCGCCACCTGGCCTTCCCCAGCCCGCAGGCCCTCCGCCAGGCCTCCCATCATCCCCAGCCTGTGCAGGGAGGCTAGCCTCTCCCCCAAGCTGCACTCGGACCAGGGCAACGGCAACGCAGGCGCCCGGCAGAGGTGCTGCTCGCAGGAGGGTCTCCGGACCGCCGCCCCGCTCGGCCCCCGCAGGCACCTGGTTGCCCAGGAAGAGACGGCCAACTTCTCGCGTGTTCCTGTCCCACAGAACCATGAGGCCCCGGCTGTAGCCGACCAGGATCTGGGCCGGGTCGCGGGGGTGCTCCTGCAGGGACTCCACTGGGCCGAGCGCCTTCCCGCACCGGTAGTCTTCGGGGACGCTGGAAGGCAAGCGGGATCGCTGTGAGCATCGCACCTCCAAGGACACAGATCTGGGTGAGGTTGCCCTCAAGGCCTTTGTGCCACAGCAGGTCCCGCAGCAGACGAGGAAGCGAAGAAAGCCTCAACTACCATCTAGTCGAACCCCAGACACTGAAGGGGCATGGAAAAGCATCGCTTAGCTCCTCCTCACGACAGCAGCTCAACCTCGCTGCGATAACCCGTACCCCTAAGCTCAAGCAAGATTCTAGTCCCCCTGGTTCTGACCGGTAGAGGAACATGAGGCAGCCTGAAGCAGAGCCACAGACGGGCTCCCTCCAGCATCGGGAGCACTGCTGGCTCTTCAAGCAGGAATTTTTCCAGCGCTACTCGGAGATCTCGGCATGGCCGGGATTGCTCTGCCTTGAGCTGCCGACGGGGGTCGACTCGGTCTTTCTGAAACCTAGTCCTTTACCGAGGTTAAACTCTTGCCGGGTCTAAGCAGAGAACACTTGCGGCTGCGGGGAGCTAGCGATGTTGCACCGCGTGGCTCCGGCCAGCACCGCCCGTGCCCACTCGCCATCCCATCGTGTGCAGGACCCCTGCGGCCACCCGTGCCTCCCTGCCTCCTGGGGGCAGCCCCTTCCCCTCCGCCGCCACCGCCCCCCACGCCCGGGCCGGGCGGCTCACCTCTGCAGGACCTCGTCCTGGTAGAGCGTCTGGTCCTCCAGCAGCGTCAGGCCCGGCAGCTCCAGGAAGTAGACGCCACCCCCTTCCGTGCCCAGGCAAGCCGTGGCACACGTGGACTGCAGCAAGATCACCGCCACCCGGGTGATGCTGGGCGGAGAGCTGCGGGCGAGAGGGGCCATCCCACCGTCAGGGCCGGGGCCACCGCCCGTTCCCAGAACTTCCCGGGAGAGGTGCAGAGGGAGCCCCAAACACCGCCAGCCCCTGGGCAGCTTTGAAGGGGCACGCTCCATTCGCGGGGGGCCTGGCCTTTGCCCCCGGGCCCATGATCCCTGACGGAAACCCTCTCCCGACCTTCGCCGACCCGGACAGCAAGATGCAGTTCTGACCTGCTTCCGGCCACCACCCCTGGGGGAGGCTCGTTCGGTGGCAACAAAGGTGGCCCCCAGCTCCGGCCCGCGCTCCCCACTGAGGCCCGCCTGGTGCCAGCTCTGCTCAGCACCAGGCCGACTCTGCTGCCCTGCAGGACATTCAGAGGGGGCCGCCTGCAAGTTCTTAAGATTGTCTTCAAGGACTGCATTTTAAAAAATCTGTTTTAAATTTGGTTCTAAGTGTTGCATCGTAAGTTTTCCGGGATGTGTTAATGTGTTTCCACACGGAGTGTTCTATAGTGTTTGTGTAAACTGCCCAGAGAGCGTCAGCTACTGAGGGCACAGAAAATACATAAATATTAGAGGACTGGAAAGCGCCATCTCCAGCATTTTCTCAGGGGATCGTAGTGGCCCAGCCGGGCTTGGGGCAAGTGGGTTTTCCAGAACCACGCTCAGAAAACTATCTGATCGCTGCTGTTCCTTCACAGAGCTTCCCGCCCGCACCCGGCCCGACACACACCTGGTTCTTTACACACCAACAAGCAAATTTATCAAAGAAGAAAGTCTGCACAGGTACGGAAAATGATGGGATGGAGGCAGGCCAATTCCACTGCATGGGGAGGGGGGAGCCACTAGCCCGGGGTGAGGCTCCCAGGCTGTCGGGGGCAAATTTCAGCCCCCCAGGCCTCCACGCCTGCCCAGCTGCTGGCCGCTTGGCGTTTTCTTAGCTGAGCACGTTCCTCTCTCTCCCCCCACCGTTCGTGGAGCCTGCCGTGCTTCAGCTGCGGCCTCCTTCCCGGCAGCAAGCGCTTCAAGCTAAAATAAGCTTTCTCCCAAAATGTTGGAAGCTGTTTGGCCCAGCGCCTTTTGCTTGCGGCCCAGGCCACCACCAGGAGGTGGCCCGTCTCCGAAACAGGACGCAGCTGTGCCGCGTCCCCCGGGCGAAGCCGCCCTTTCCCAGAGCCCAAGCGGGGCTGCCGGGGGTTGTTCCAGGAGCTGGGATTGCGGGACAGGGCAAAGACGTGAGTCGGGGACTTCTCAGCTCACGCCTTGGCCACAGGCTGGGCTTAAGGCCCCAAAGCCTGGATGCCACGGCCTCGTCCAACTGGATTAGGTCCCTCCCCGTCCCGCATGCCGAGGAAGCGCACTTAGGAAGCAAAGCAGCTGATGGCCGAACAAAGCAAGCGACGGAGCCGGAGACCCAGCCGTGCCCCAGCTCCCGCTAGCTTCCTCTGTCCACAGAACCGACGACTAGCAAGGCGCTCGTCTCTCGCACACTGCAGGCCTTCGAGAGGCCCGTGGACAGCCCGGATCCGGACCCTCACACTGGGGGTCCTGCACGGAGCAGGAGGGCGGCCCCCTGTGCCGAGGGCCCCGTCCGCCTCCGGTTCCAGGATTTACGGCCTCGGGCAAGCGTGAAAGAGAGCAAAGAGGCGGGCGGCAATGAGTACTTAGCGTTGTCGAACCCTGGCCGTCCGGGGAGGGCGAAGCTGCGGGTCTCTTCCAGGTGGGAGTAGCCACTCCGCTGGTAGATCTCCCACAGGTGGAGGGTGTTGTCATCCAGGAGGGACAGCAGCCGGCCCTGGAGCAGAGGAAGCGCGCCAGGTTGGAAGCCGAGAAGCCCCTCCCTCCCCAGCACTCAGGTGGGGCCCAGCCAGCGGCAGTGCTCCTTACCTGCCCAGGTAGGAAGTGCAGCTGGGTGACCGTCGCCGTCTCCTTGTGCAAACCCGTGAACTCCACACCAGGAGCTCCATATCTGAGGAAGGCCCCGAGTCAAGGAGAACATGTGAAGGTGCGAAGGGGGGAATCACAGGCCTTCAGCTCTGGGGAAGACACGTCACCTGGCTCGGGGCTGGCAGTGGGATGAGGAGGACAGACAGGCCTGGCTCAACAGACCCCACCTGGTGCCTCTTCTTCATTCGTTAGTTGCCCCGTTTGCTAGTCCGAGATGCCCACCCATTTAAAACAATAAAACCACTGCATAACTCTAAAAACCAGGAACTTCCAAACAATTAATACAATGGCGCAATTTGGAAGGCCAAGTCTTTTTGCTGCACACAGGTTCACCGGCTTTTTAAAAAATGAACCACCAATGGGTTTCTAGTCCTGTGTGTTTAGCCACCTGCTATCAGAAAGCAGTGCCAAGTACGTGGAAACGTTGCCTGCCACATTCCTGTGGTTAAGAGGCACAGGAGCGTACTGCGCTCTTTTCCTCAGGTCAGTTGGCAACCCTTCTTGGGTGTGGGACTTTGAGCAGGTGAAAGTGGCGTCTGGGCCTCGTATACGCAGAAGTGCCTTGAGCTGCCCCACAAAAGGAGCGGCCGAGTGCTGTCCACCATTTCAGGGCTGGCTGGGACTCCCCCTCCTCCAGACAGAGGAGCATTTGTCCGAATCCCACACGGAAGGGGTCGCCAAGCAACGAGGCTCTTGCTCACCCATTGCAGGGGAAAACCGACTCCCCTGGTGGTTTTCTTTCCCTGCTCTCTTTCCCTTGCCTGCAAACGTGCGCACTGGCCTTGTTCGCGTAACTTCTCCCTTATCTTTTGCACACACCAGTTTCGAAAAAATCAGCTCTGAAGCACGGAGAGAGGCGGGGAGGGGAGTTTCTGGGGCACAGACAAACAGCAGGTGGCGGCAGTCTCTACGCCAGGCACCCACAAACCCACGGAAGGGGCGCACAGTGCAGCTTCCCTGCGAGCCACATATGTGCAGATAAGAGGCAAAACCAAAGGTTTTAGTCCTCTTTGATCTGCTCAGAGCGCGCATGCACGTGGGTCGCGATTTTGCAATGTTTGTTCATCTCAAGAGAAGAGAAGGGAAGAAAATGAAGCTGCTGGGGGCGGAGGGCAGCACCGAGCCGCACCTCACCTTCCAAATAATGAAGCCCAACTTTATACAAAATAGATCTCTAGAATGTGCAAAGGAAACGATTAGGGGGATGCGCCCAGCGAGCCAAATGTATATAAGTGCAACATAAGTGTTTCTCTCTGGGGACTGTGTTTAGGTTTCTTGTTTGTTTCCAGCAAAACAAACAGCGCCTGGCTAGGCCCATACGGTCACTCCGCTTTCATGTCCAGACACAAACTATTGCTTTTGTTTTCCATGTCAGTGGTGACCTAGTTTTGAAAGAGCGGGGCTAACTATCTGCTTTGCAAGCGCAGAAATTCCAAAGCCACAATCCGCGCACAGGGAATAACTGGGCAGTTCCATCAGCTCTGGTTTCGGAGGGGTGCGTCATGCAAATTACGAGCCAGAACCCCCCCCAAAGAGGGAGGCAGGTGGTTTTGCTCAGTGGTGCTTTTGGGGAAGACTGAATCGCAGCTCACATCCAAAGGAGAACCCCAGAGCAGCTGACAGTGCAAGGGAGACGGTGGTTTCCTCTTGCTCTGTAGCTGCAGCCACCTTTGGCGCTTCCACAAACCACGAAACGCACTTGCCATACGGCCCCTTGGGCCATCAAGGTGGGCAATTTCGAGAGGTCTGCGGATCATTTTCACGCCTTCCCCAGCTGATTTTCTTGCCATTTTGCGCTGGGACCCAGTGAAAACCTGCTGGGCACCAGCAGCAAAGCAAAAAGAAAACGGATGCCGGCAAACCCTTCCAGAATGCTCCACGGCCAAATTTAAAACTCAAGTTAGCAGCTGTAGCATTCCATAGCAGATGGCTGGAAGAAAATCAGCCATCGCAAGCCCCCCGCTGGCACAAATTTTGGCTGTGCTGGGGCAGGAGACACGTGCAACCTGCGACCGCGAGCGGCACCCTCCAACCGAGATGCCCTCGCATTGCACAAAACCTACTTCCAAAGGGAGCACCAAGAAATCAAGATAATTTTGGTCAGCACCCTCCCATCACGGCTTCTAAGCCTTTCCCATCCACTGTGCACGATATCCTGAATTTATGCCCCAAATTATATCTTCTTCTTCATCATCATGACTGGCTAACCTGGAGACAAATGCCATCCACTTTCTAAAGCAGGCAAATTCATATATTGTGGCTTTACAGGGAAGAACAAACGTACAACTTGGAAGCTCTCCGTTGAGCTCCCAAGCAGCGGTGTGGGAGAAATTAATTCAGCTCACGTTTTGATTTACGTGATTTGCACAAATAAAACACAGTTACACTATGAAATTTATACTTCTCTGAATTCTGCAACAGTTCTCCTATAAAAAATAAGCGCATTCCAGACAGCAGGGAGAATGCACATTAAAATGTTCTATATCTGAGCAAATTGCTTCCAAAAATATGCATGCGAGGCAAAATTGCACTGAAGGAAGCTTACATTAGGAGAAACGTAAATAGATTTTCATGTGGACTTTCAGTTCCGATGATCCATGAAGTTGCTCTGTGCATTAATACACGGCAACATCTTAACAATTTGGGGCAGATAACAATCACTTAACTGCAACTGTCCTTCTTTTACAGTTGTAGCTATGAAATTTCTATATTATCTTCTGATGGTGCAAAACAGGATTTTAAAAAATGACAGTCAAATCATCGAGTCCTTTTTACAACCAAATATGTTTGACCAAAGGTAAAGCAAAGAGAGCTTTTGCATTTTTTAGCTCCGGTCTTCCGGAAAGGAAGCCTGCCGGTCACAGTTGCGCACGAAGTGGCAACGGATCAGGACGAATTTATGGCAGACCCATCTGGATGGTGAATGGACCCAGGAGCCTTCCAGAGCAAGAGGTGACCTCCGGATCGGGGCTGGCTGGGTCGGACCCGTCTTCCCTGGAAGGCCGTGCGGATCCCGCAATATTAATTCCAGGACGGAGGGCATCCGTGCGCCGCGTTCCTGGATGAACTACGCTAGTTACTGGCTTCTGTCTGATCCCACAGCATCATGCTGAGCTTAAAATTGTACCCAGGCTTAAGGGGCTCTCCGAGGAGCAGAAACCACTCCGTACCTGCGCACCAGCACGCAAAATCCCTCTGCACACAGTCTCTCGCAAACACGGGTCTTTTGGTGGGCGCGTGTTCGGCACCCAAGGATTACAGACAATGTGTGACTTGACTCGCAAGAGACACGACGGTTCTCACGGGCCGACCCACAGCAGTGCGCACTGGGAGAGCCCGTGTCCCCGTGGCGGCCGGCTTGGCCCGGGAGCGCCTCACCGGGATGCGCGTTCCCTTTCACGTCCCAAAGGCCCATCCATCCTTCAGCCCGTGCCCGCGGAGCCGCTGCGTCTCGAGAGATGGATGAGCTCTGTCTCGCTGGGAAATCTCTTTGGAGAGTTACGAGCTGCAGTAAAGGCAAATGGGGCGGAAAGGAGGGCCTTTGAAGAGCAGAGCGGGGACCCGCTCCGGTCCCATCCCGGAAGGACCTGCGTCCGCACAATGCGGTTCTGCGGGAATCAGAAGGGGGCAGAGAAAGATGCTCCTGCTGCAGGTCCTTAGGAACGCCTGCTTTCCCTTCAGAAGACGAAGGAAGGCCAGGAGAGGGGCACAGGCTGGCTGAAGCTGCGGCAGCGATGGTGCGATCATTTTTCTGGCAGTTGTTTTTGTGTGGGGTGGGCTTGCCTGTCCCCTTCCCACAGAACCAAGAGAGCTCTGAAGGAAAAGCAGCTACGAATCCAGCACGGCTTTCCCTGCACTCTAGGAATGGAAGCATTTTCTTCCACGGGGAGAAAGAGCGAGGCGGCTGCAGAGGCGATGCAAAGCAAGCAAGGAGCTTGGCTTGCGGCCGCCAAAACGCAACCCCTCACAGGAAAGTTGGAGGAGCCGGTGCGAGGAGGCTTCAGCGCCTCGCAGCCTGGCAGGTGGCCTGAACTGCAGCTCGAGGCTTTGCCGCAGAAATCCAGAAACGGCCGGGCGGGGGGCGGGGGGAGAGAAAGGGGAAGGGAGCCACAGGAAGGTGCTTGTCCACGCCGCTTGCTCGCTCGCTCGCCCACAAGGCTGAACAGAGGCTGCTCCTGCAGGCGGCTGCTACTAAAGGTGTGAGATGAGGGTCCAAACACACATGCGAAGGGATCCCATCCCTGGCGAATCCTCGACAGCAAACTCTGTAACAGATCTAAGTGCATTTTCCTAGTTGCACAAATTCTGCGCACACTTCAGAGAGGGGAATTTCTGTGCGCTAGCACAAGTGTGCATTTATAAGCAGGAATTCCTCCCCGCAAACCAAATTCTGTCCATGGCCAGGCCGCAGAACAAAAGGGGCCGGACAGCCTGTGAAACACAGGAGGGATTTAATAAAACCTTGACGCTCCTGCTTGCGCTTGAAGCATTAACGAGCACGGATGCATCGTTCAGTTACGATTATTTCCCCTTTCCAATTCCCTGGAAAGCAGCTCCGAATTAGTTCTGAGCATCTGAGTGCACATGGGGAAGAGGCTGGGAGGAGAAGCAGCCCGCGGCAGAGAGCATCGCGGAGTGGCCCTGCGGATCGGTGCCTTCGCTGCACCAGCCCCCCCACCGCCCCAACCAGCAGCCTGCGCTAGCCGGCACTTGGCCTGCTGTACAAGGTCACTCAAAGGCGTTCGAGGGAGAATCGAGACCCCAGAGGGCGCCGGTGCTGCTGCAGAGTGCCACACACACCCCCCCCCCCAACATCCTGTGGGTATCTTGTTCCCCAGACCCGAGAGCCAAGAGCATGTTTCTACCCCCCGGAAAATGGGAACAGCCCTTCCTTTGCCCAGTAAAAACCTAAGTCCTCGAGAGAAGGCTCTGGCTGCCACATTTTCCCCACAAGAGGGTCGCTGAGCCGCCAAGGAGATGGTCCCGTGAGGGCAGCTTTCCCCAGCGTGGTGCCCGCCAATG